AGTGGTGGCGTTGCAGCCAAAAGCGTTTGCTTAGCCTGTCGTGCTGCCGGTTCTGGCCCACATCTTCGGCGCAGCACGCCGCCGTCCCAGTCCCCAAGCATCAACGTTCCGAACTGTTCCCAGCCCACGGAGCAGAGCGACACGCCATTGCAAGGCATAGCGTGTCGAAGGGGCGGCCGCCGCGACACGCTGAGCTAAAGCTCCTGACCGCAAGGAGCCCTGGCCCGCTGGGGACGGGGACGGGTCGAATGGTACTGACAGGCGGCCGACACGCGCGACCTGCAGCAGTGGTTCCGCCAGCTCGGGATGGCGCCGTGACGTGATCGCGCGGCCTTCTCCGCGGGGCCCCACGCGTGCTGAAAAGATCAGCACGCTGGAGGTGGCGCAGGATGGCGATTGAGAAAAGCACGGAGGCCCAGACGTCCGCGCATCGCACAAAAAAACACGACGGAAGGTTTGGGGCAATTTTTTGTTTCCGGGGGCCCTCATTGGGCCTTGGGACAGTCAAAACACGATTCAGGGTGAAGGGCCGGTCCCGAGGAAGAGGTCCAGACAGTTGGGGAGCCAAGCTGTGGGAAAATCATTGCGTCCGATGTCTCGGGAGGGGGGAACGGTTGAATAATTGTATATACAATTGAATACACATTCCTCTTCCTATATTTTTTCAAGCCCGGGCGGGGGGAAGACCCGTCCCCCCCCCCCCAAAACCGGATTCCCGGGATCTGGGGCTTTGGGACCTTCCGGACGGGCCTCGAAGCGGCCCCCCGGGCCTCGCAGGGCGTGTTGCCAAGCCTTCTCAGCACACCTAGGGCGATCAGGGGGGTCATCGGAGACGTCCCAGAGACCCCCAAGACAGCACAAGAGCGCTCCAAGAGTGACCGACGTGACCTCAAGATGGCCCAAAAGGCCTCCAGGACGGCCCCAAAGAGGCCTCCAAGAGCACTCCCAAGAGGGCCCCAAGAAGCACAAATCTTTGATTTTCTGTTTATTTTTGCTGAATTTGGGGGTTCTCCTCTTCTCGGCTTCCCGACGCTCCAAGACGGCGGTTTTCTGGGCGTCCGAAGCCGCCTGGGAGGCTCCAGCATCGCCCCACAATCATCCGAAAGGGCTTCCAGGCAGTCCAAGAGAGCCCCAAAACGGCACAACACGGGTCCAAGATGGCCGTCAGAGAGCCCCATGCCGGCCCAAGATGGCCCCAAGGCACCCTCCGAAGCATTCCAAATCGTGACCCGGTCGTTCAGGGAGACCGCGGTTGGAAGCAGGGTGGCCCGAGGAAGTCCCCAGAGGCCCCCAGAATACGCCCAGGAGGCTTCCAGAAGGCCTTAAGAAAGCCTGAAACAACTTTTGTGAGCCCCCCAGAGGCTCTCCAAGGAGGAGCCTGTTCAAAAAATAGCTGAGGAGGATGGGGATAATGCGCAGGGTACGGCGAAAATAAGGAAAAATAAGCATGGAGGAAGGATAACGAATGGCATTATTATAGCGGCGATGCCGGAAAAGCCAGCAAGGAGTTATCTCTAAATTGTCGGCTTGACCGTCCTGCTATTCCGCCTGCATACCAAACTTCAAGGACCAAGGTGCATGGCGCGAAGCGCCACTGCTGTCTTGTATATATATATATATATATATATATATATATATATATATATATGTGTGTGTGTATGTGTGGTCGATCCCCCTTGTGATCATACCTCTCTTCGCTTCTCTGCTTGTTCCTCCTTTTCCTCTCTCTCCTCTTTCTCTTCACCCTCTCCTCCTCCTCCTCCTCCTCCTCCTCCCCTCATCATCATCATCATCATCCTCCTCCGCCTCCTCCTCCTCGAAGGTGACGCCGTTTTCCTTGCCAAAGGCACAGAGCAGACCGATCATGCAGGTTTTTTTTTTCGGACACCCGACAAGACGCGCCCGGTAACGTTGAGCAACAGCGGCAATACATTGAGATCGGCGGCTATCAACAGTCCTATGGGCTATACTTGTCAACTGTCCTGCGTTGACTCCCAGCGTGGTTTTGTGAGAAATCGCCCCATGCGTCAGAATCTTGCGCAGCTCGAAGTTTACGTCCTCCATTGGCTCGTTCAACGTGGACCACTAGACGCTGGCTTTATCCTCTTCGACTACGAGATTGTCTTCCCTACTCTGGCGCATGAATATATATATATATATATATATATATAGTCCTCTTCCTATATTTTTGCAAGCCCGGGCGGGGGGAAAACCCATCCCCCCCCAAAAAAAACCGGACTCCCGGGATCTGGGGCTTTGGGACCCTCCAGACGGGCCTCGAAGCGGCCCCCCGGGCCTCGCAGGGCGTGTTGCCAAGCCTTCTCAGCACACCTAGGGCGATCAGGGGGGGCATCGGAGACGTCCCAGAGACCCCCAAGACAGCACAAGAGCGCTCCAAGAGTGACCGACGTGACCTCAAGATGGCCCAAAAGGCTTCCAGGACGGCCCCAACGAGGCCTCCAAGAGCACTCCCAAGAAAGCCCCAAGAGGCACAAATCTTTGATTTTCTGCTTATTTTTGCTGAATTTGGGGGTTCTCCTCTTCTCGGCTTCCCGACGCTCCAAGACGGCGGTCTTCTGGGCGTCCGAAGCCGCCCAAGAGAGCCCCAAAACGGCATAACACGGGTCCAAGATGGCCGTCAGAGAGCCCCATGCCGGCCCAAGATGGCCCTAAGACACCTTCCGAAGCATTCCAAATCGTGACCCGGTCGTTCAGGGAGACCGCGGTTGGAAGCAGGGTGGCCCGAGGAAGTCCCCAGAGGCCCCCCGAATACGCTCAGGAGGCCTCCAGAAGGCCTTAAGAAAGCCTGACACAACTTTTGTGAGGCCCCCAGAGGCTCTCCAAGGAGGAGCCTCCGCAAAAAAGGGCTGAGGAGGATGGGGAGAATGCGCAGGGTATGGCGAACATAAAAAATCAGCATGGAGGAAGGATAACGAATAACATTATTATAGCGGCGATGTGGGAAAAGCCAGCAAGGAGTTATCTCTAAATTGTCGGCTTGACGTTCCTGCTATTCCGCCTGCGCACCAAACTTCAAGGACCAAGGTGTATGGCGCGAAGCGCCACTGCAGTCTTGTGTGTATATATATACACATATATATATATATATGTATACATATATATATATATATATATATACAAGTGGCACGTGTGTGCCCAGGCTCATACAACAAGCTGAAGGGGCGTTTGAAGCAGGAGTGACATGCAACAGCGAAGTCGCACTCGAGCGCAAGTGGGGTTGCCACACCTTGCGATGTGTGTACCAGGGCCCCCCAGGAAGCCTCAGGAGGCCCGACTTGGATACCAGAAGAGGCTCCAGGAGGCCCCAGGATTGTGAGTGTTGTGTGTGTGTGATGTGTGCTTTGTGTGGTGCGTGCTTTTTGTGTGTTGTCGGTGTTGTGTGTGTATGTTATGTTTGTCTAGCGTGTGATGTGTTGGGCGTGATTTGTGTCTCTGTGCGTGCATGTAGTTCTGAAGCCCCAGGAGGCCCCAGGAGGCCCCAGGCGGCCTCAGCAGGCCCAGGAGAACTCCAGGAGGCTCCGAGGCGGGGTCTGGGGTACCAGAAGGTCCAGAAAGCCCCAGGAGGCCCCAGGAGGTTCCAGGAGGCCCCCAGGAGGCTCCGAGGAGGGGTCTGGGGCTCGATTTTGGGAGGATTTTTCATGCGAAACCGCCATTCTCTGAGAATCGGGGTCAAAATTATTGTAATTACCATGTGTTTTTGAAGGTTTTATGTTAAAATGTTGAAATTCCCATGTGTTTTTTGGACCCTGACGTCACGATCTGCGTGAGGGGTGCCACCGATGTTCAGAATTTCGAGGATGTCCCGAGCGAAACGGCCAGAAAAATCGCGAACGCGTGCGCATTAATCGCCTCTGAGCTCTACTCCCTCGGAGAGGTGCGTATGATAATATATATATATATATGTATATACACACATATATATATATATATATATATATCCGGTCCTCGAAATGCTGAATGTACCCGCGAATATTCGCACAAGTATTGAGCTGCTGTACACCAATGTCCGTAGTTCAGTTTCCTTTGGTGGTCCGCGTGGTGGGCGCTTCAAGGCCAGCCGCGGCATCAAACAAGGGTGCCCATTGTCAGGTAGCCTCTTCGCTTTAGCCATCGACCCTGTGTTGAGGCTATTGGCTGGTCGTCGTCCTGCGGATATCAACGTCCCCGGTGTTTTCGCAGACGATCTGGGCGTAGGATGTGCCGACATCTTCGCCACGCTTGCGGGAGCTCTGCCAATCTTGTACTTCGGCACGCGGGCGACGGGCCTCAAGCTCAACCTCACGAAAGTGGTGCTGATTCGTGTCATGGGAGGTACTGAGGAGCACCTCCAGGAAATATTGGTCGACGTCGGATTCCTGCCCTTGTCTTTTTCGATTGTGAAGTCGGGCAAACACCTCGGAATCATCATCGGCCAGGACGGCCACCTCGACAGTTGGATCGCTCCCACAGTCAAGTGCATCAGTCGGGCTCGATCGATCAAGCACCTAGCGCTGGGCCTGGCCAAAGTATTGTGCAATTCAACTCCGTCGGCTTCTCGGTCTTATCGCAAGTCATGCAGTATTGCCGCCCGTCCCCTGAGGCCATCCGCGCCGTAGACACTGCTGTGCAGAACATCACCCCTGCCCCGCGCAGTGCGTTTTCCACGAGCATGTTATCCGATTTGAAAAGTTTCCGTTTTCCTTGCGAGGCTCGAGATGTCCAGTGTGTTTCCAGAGCGGCCTTAAACAGATTTGCCTGCACCACGCCTGCTTTGTTTTTCGAAATTCGGGACCTGGAAGGATTCAGTGATTCCCTGGACTGTATATACTTGTGGCGTCGGCACACGAGGTATAAGTCTAGCATGTTTTGTCATCTGTTCGAGAATTATCTCTCGTGTTCTGCTATCCCCCTCGTGCCTGTTTGTAATACGTCTCAGATCCCGAAGAAGACCGAACATATTCTTCGGTCTGCCCGCGCTCATCTTCCCGTCACGTGTATCGCCACCAGAGCCGCCCACCACCTTGGAAGGCCAAGAACAGCAGCAGATTGTAGTTGTCGTTATGAGAATGTCCGCAGGCTTGCCAAATTTGCTCCCGCGCGTGTTGTTGCTAGTGCGTATCGTACTATATGTAATGCCTGGACCACTCCTGTCAGATTCCCAGGCCAGACCAGAGCTTGCCATCTCTGCAGATGTAAGGCCCACCCAGACGCTCTCCGTCATTATCTTGAGTGCCCTGCCTTTCAGCATGTGTTTCCTCGCTTGTCTAATATGTCTGGCCGCTTTCTCAATGTTACTGGTGCCCAGCTTGCTGCCTTCTTCCCCCTTACGCCTGCGTCCGAACCCGAGCTTGTCACCATGACAACAAAGAGCCCGCCCTGGCCCAGGGGGACATCACTCTGCGCCCCGCGGCCGCCGCTCGACTAAAAGCTGATTCGTCGGTGGCCTGGGCTTCTTCACCTAGTTCGTGGTTGCCCGAGGGAGGACGCGGTGGTGACACCGATTGGGTGCTTGCTGCTGGGCCCCTCGGGGCAGGGGCGCGCGGACGGCGAGGCCCCGCTCAGCAGATCTGCGCGGCGCCTCACCCCGCTGGACCCACCAGCAGCCTTCGAAAGTGGCGACAGTTTCGCAGATCGCAGCCCCCCAGGGACGGCGAGGTCCCGCTCAGATCTGCGCGGTGCCTCTTCCCGCAAGACCCACCAGCAGCCTTCGAAAGTGGCGACAGTTTCGCAGATCGCAGCCCCTCAGGGACGGCGAGGTCCCGCTCAGATCTGCGCGGTGCCTCACTCCGCTGGACCCGCCAGCAGCCCTCGAAAGTGGCGACAGTTTTGCAGATCGCAGCCCCCCGGGGACGGCGAGGTCCCGCTCAGATCTGCGCGGCGCCTCACTCCGCAGGACCCACCAGCAGCCTTCGAAAGTGGCGACAGTTTCGCAGATCGCAGCCCCCATCGTCGGCGAAGAGAGGGCAGGAGGAGGCGGGAGGCGGGAGGAGAAGCGAGGCGACCACAGTGTTCCATTCAAAACGAATACCCAACCAAGGAGGGCTGGGAATTAAAAAGTGGAAAGCATCGACGCCAAAGCAAACGTTCTGATCACAGGGGCTGAGGGGGCGAGCATGTATCTATATATAATGTGTAATTGTGTACACACATGTGTTTATATATACATACATACATACATACATACATGCATGCATACATGCATGCATGCATACATACATACATACATGCATGCATGCATGCATACATACATGCATGCATGCATACATACATACATACATACATACATACATACATACATACATACATGCATGCATACATACATACATGCATGCCTATATTAATGTCTAATTTTCTGCCGCTGCGAAAGGGTTTTGGGTAGGCCGGCAATAGACTCTCAGCGGCGTCGGCACCCACGAGCAAGCCCGGCATCCAACAGATCAATCATCGCCCAGGGCGTTGGCTGAGCGACGGGCCCCCCCCCTTGCCCCCGCACTTCTTGATCGCCATCCTGCGGTGGGGGCGGGGCGCTCCAGAGCCTGAGATCGCCTCCCCATCGGGGCATCTGGCTCTGCCGTCCAGGGCCTCGGCGCAAGCCCGGCGGAAACGGCAGCGGACCCCCGTTGGAGATGTCGATGCCACCAGGGCTCTCTGGAGCGCGCCGTCGCGAGATAGCCTCGAGTAGGAGGCGGAGAAAGGGGGAGATTTTGTTTCACTAGAACAGGTGCTCGCACTTCCCGCCACGGAGTCAGTGAGCCTGGGGCACGACAGAGGGCCACGTTAAACCTCAGGGCGAAGAAAAATCTTGCAAGTTGGAGCGAGATTGGGAAGCAAGGGGGGAGGAGTGAGAAGGAGAAGGAGGGCGCGGAGGAGAAGAAGGGGGAGGGGGGGAAAAAACATGTTTTCCACTCCACATTGCCCAACAGGTGACCTGAGGGAACGCCGACGCCAAAATACAACTGAGGGGAGGCGAATCCCGCAGAGGGCGCTCATTGGCGCAAAGCCTACACTGGACGGCGTTGCGTCCAGTGCGGCATCCTCCATCTTGCTATGAGCTGTGGAGGAGGGGGGGCGGGCAACGGTCAAGGCGGCTGGTACCCAGCAGCCCCCGTGCCAGTCGCCCCCCCAGGAACCCTTGGGCGACGGTCGCCTGGCAGCCCATGGCTACCAGGCCGTGCACAAGGGGTCCCGAAGGGGGGGGAGGTGGCGTCGGCGGCAGGGGGAACCCCAAGGCTCGGGTTCTAGGGCAGGCTGCGTAACCTGCACCCCCCACCGACCGCGCCCTGTACTCCCACAGGCAGCACCAGCACAACGGAGACTGAGAGGCCCGCAAGGACCACCCCATCCATATGCGGGGGCTAACCGTGCCCGCATGAAACGAACGGCCATGCACAGGTGCTAAAAGCAGGAGGAACCCCAAGGCTCGGGTTCAAGGCAGGCTGCGTAACCTGCACCTCGGCTGATGGCACGAGACAGACAGAACCCCCGGCTCGGGTTCGGGCAGGCAGCGTAACTAGCAACACCCTGCACACGTGCAATGCACCTTCCCCCACAGTGGGGTGCCTGATACACGTGCAGGGAACACACGCGCGACCACACGCATGCGCAGTGATAAACCGAGACAACTCTCATCCCTGGTGTAGCGAACGCCAGGACGATGAGCTGAAATCCCGATCAACCTAAGCATTGGTAAGCAGAAACACTGGGAAAAGGCAACGGTCGGGGCACAGATGCCCCCGTGCCAGGCTCCCGTCAGTACGAAGCACGCGTGCAGCGCACCTTCCCCCACAACTGGGGTGCTTGATACTCGTACATACGCGCACGCAGGAAGAAGGGAGGAGGAGGAGGAGGAGGAGGAGGAGGAGGAGGAGGAGGAGGAGGAAGAGCAGGGCGCAGGAGCAGGTCGGAGGAGCAGGATCAGGAGAGGAGGATCAGGCCCGCGGCGAATTGCATGCAGTGTGCTGCGAGTTTCACTCCACCCTCTGGGTAGGCACGTGCCCTCCGCTACGCAGTAGTATTCGCTTAATGCGTACAGGGTGGCCCGCCCCATCCTCGTTTCGGTGCTGCCCCTCTCTCTCTCGTGAGTGGCAATGTCAGCTCAAACCTCTCTTCGCCCGATCAGCGGAGTTTGTCAGGCCCATGGGCGTTGGAGGGCAGCCCCTCGTTGCTCCGCTCTCACACCCGCGCCAGCAGTGGTGCGCACCCTTCCGCGCTTATCCAGTCATCTTGTGCCACGTACGCCCCACTCGAGGGCAAATGATCGTTCGCGCGGCTCTGACGGTGTCGTCGTGGCCTTCCCGGAGCAGGACACGGAGGAGCCGAGGGGCGGCATGCACGACGTCGTCTCTGGAGTCTGTGCGCTGGGCCAGCGGTTGGCTGCTGCCGAGGCGGCGATGGCCGAGCCCGCCAAGTCCCGGCAGCGGGAGCGGCGCTCCAGCCAGGGCGACGTTCGCCGCCGATCGGGTCACTAGGTGCGACGCCTTTCTCAGGAGCCGTCGCAGCAGACGGACTCGCACGAGACGGCCAGCATTGGCGATTCCTCCATGGACGCTGGGTCAGGCCAGCAGGTCACGCTTGATACCTCGGTCGATGCGCAATGAACCCTGCACACTCTCGCGCGTGGTGTTCGGGGTTGTGCCCCAGCGCCTGGCTGCTGGTGCCACTGCCTGGGGTGTGCCGCACGGCCTCGTGGCGGCGCCTGCAGCATCCTCTTCGACAGCTCCGATCACGCCCGCGACTTCGTGCGGCGTGCGCGTGGTCTTGGTCTTTCTTAGAAGGCGGTGCTTGGGCAGGAGGGAGTTGCGATGGCGGTCTTATCGGATCAAACCGTTCGCGGAGAGCCCTCCTCCATGGCGAGAGCAAGCTGTTTGGAAGCGAATGCGGTCGTCCTGGGCCTTGCGGCGTGCCTCACCCGTGTAACGGCGTTTTTTTGGGCACGCAGTCAAACATTTCAATCGCCTCATCGCCCCGGCTAGCGGATAGGACGACGGACTGCGGCTTTCGGAGCGAGGAGTCATCGTATGTTACGATATGTCGTCGTCCGCGGAGCGAGACTGCATTGTGTGAGGAGATGCGTCGTTGCGGCGATGGATGTTAGATAGTTGTACGCGCACGGCGGCACAACTGACTCGTCAAGTGTGACTGCGCTTATGCACACGGCGTCTGTTGAGGGCGCGTTGGGCTTGAACCGTTGCGCACACCGACGGTAGCCCGAATGTCGCGTGCAAAAGCCCTTCCTCTTCTCCCCCCCTCCTCACAAAAGACGAGGATGCTGCTTACTGTCGCTTCGCCAATGGCCTCGCAGATTGCATCTGCGTCCGCATCTCTTTCTTCCCCCCTGTCCGCCTCTGTGTCTCAAGGGCCAGGCGACGAGGGGGAGATGCCGAAGCCCGCAGACGCCGGGTGCGGAAAATAAGTGTCGAGCGATCTCTGAGCTCATGGTCAAGCAGTGACGAAGCGTGCTAGTCTTCTTGTAGGCCCCCCAAACAAGTTCGAACAAACACCCTTGTGGTGTGCATATACAATATTGTGTTCGGCACCGTTCTCTCAGTGTACAGTAACATTGCGTTCGTTCGTATAGCACTCTATTGCTGTAAGAACATGTCGTGGCAGGTCCCCCAGTGATGCTGGAACGGTCGGCCCCTGCTCAACACAGCGTTGATTGTTGCGCCCCCGTTGCGGAAGTAGCGCTCTTCTGCCTTGGCTCGCCGACTTCAGACAGACGGCCGAGGCCAGAAGTGGCCGAAAAAGGGCCCCTCCGTTGCTTGCCCGGCGTCCCCCGACGGTAGCACGACGGCTGTACCTCCATGGGCCTGGGGCCCTCAGCGAAGGGGCCCGCACTCGGGACACACGCTCTCGCGGCCACGTGTCAGTTGTGCGCCCCTGGGCCTCAAGGGAGGTGGGGCGCGGAGCCCCCCGGGAGGTCTACCAGAGCCCATCGCCTCGTGGCAGGACGCGACAGACCGCCGCTACCTTGACCAGGCCCTGGCGGGCAAGCTGCAGGCGCACTCATGCCTTGCCGGAGGGGGGGAGCAGGGTTTGAGGAGGGGGTGGGCAGGGCGAGGGGGAGAAGGAGAGTCGCCAGCATGAAGCAGCAGAGGGGAGGGAGGAATGAGGACGGAGGCAGGAGGAATGAGGAGGTGTTGCACGGACCTTGGTCAGTGCACCCGCGACCATCGTCCACAATTGTTGGACGATGTTGCTGATTTGTGAAAATAGCGCACACGGAGTTGCACATACTCTCCCTCCCCTAGGCAACCAACAGCACAAAATGCGCCCAAGTTTACCCTCGAAGCGTTCACATGGAATTCTGTTTGGGCTCTGGGGTAGGAGGGAGGGGGGGAGGGCCGTGGGGGCAGGCAGGTAGGCAGACAGGCAGGCAGAGGGCTTCCGCGGCAAAGAGACTTACCGCGCCTCGTGGTGGAGGAGGAGCTGGGCTCACTTTCGCGGCACACGCAGCACTTTGCGCCGAGCGGCCGCGTGCCCTGCAGAACTTCGCAGTGCATGGACGACCGCAACACCTCCGAGGGCCAGCGCCGGCTGGCGCCTGGCGCGCGCATCGCAATCGTGGGCGGCGGCACCATCGGCCTGCTGGCGTGCAAGCAGTGCCTCGAGCGCGGCTACCGGCCCACCGTCTTCGAGAAGCGCGGCGGCGTCGGTGGCGTGTGGCGGCAGGACGACAGTGGGCACAGCGCGGCGTACGACTCCCTCTACACCAACAGCAGCCGCACGCTCATGCAGATCTCGGACTTCCCCTTCCCCTTTCGAAGAAGAAACCACTGCATCAACATAAACCTTCGGAGCTCCGCGCAGATTTCTTGGATCGGCGCTCGGCCCCTCCTCACTGACGTGCGGAGCGCGCCAAGGGCGACGCCACCAGGAGGGGGGCCCAGCGCCGATCCGAGAAATCCGCACGGAGCTCGAATGTTTCGGATATTGCCGCATTATTCTTCTTCCGCCCTTCCAGACTGGCCTCGAGTTCCCCACCCGCGCCGAGATCGTGCGCTACTACGAGCGCTACTGCGAGCACAACGACCTGTGGCGCCACGTGCAGCTCGGCGCGGCCGTCGTCGACGCGCGCATCGCGGCCACGCACCCAGACGGCTCGGCGCGCGCCTGGAGCTTACGCGTGCGGCGCCGCCGCGGCGCCCGCGCGCCGCCCTCGGAGCGAGTAGCCGACAGAGCCTCCGACTTGGAGGCCCAGCCCGTGCCGGAGCCGACGCCGGGCGGCGGCGGCGGTAATTTCAGACGTTTCGCGTAGCCCCACGACGCCCATCCAGAAACGATGCCCAGACGAGTTGCCCTGATCGGGGATGTGGAGTAGAATGCCGCTGGAAGGCGTCGCACCTCAAGAGGGGGAGGATGAAGAAGGAATCGGAGGAGGAGCAAGAGGAGGAAGAGGAGGAGGAGGAAGAGGAGGATGGATGGATGGGACGTCATCAAAGAGGCCCCGACGGCCGTCAGCACGCTGACGACCGCCAGAGCCCCAGATGTCAACGAGTCCGCTACCCGCGGACGGCCGTGCACCCCGCGCGCGGCCGACGCGCCGCCCTCGGCGGCGCCAGAGGCGCGTCCGCCCTTTCCTCGCCACCGCACGCCGCCTGGGGGGGGCTGCAGGGTCCCCCAGGCGCGGCGGTGGCCACGCGGGGCGCCGCACTGGCCGCACTTCCCCGCCCTCCGCCAGCCGTCGCAGCGGCCAGCCACTCCTCGCCCCTGCACGCGGCCTGGGGGGGGGCTGCAAGGTCCCCCAGGCGCGGCATGGGCCCCGCGGGGCGCCGCGCTGGCGGCCCTTCCCCGCTCGGTGGGCAGGCCTCTCCCCACCTGCTGCAGCACGCCGCTCTTCCTCCTCGTGGGGCGGCCGCGAGGCTGCCCCTGGCTCGGGGGAGGGGCCTCGGGGTGCTCAGCGAGCTGTTCCCCGCCCCGCCCTGGCCTTCGCGCCGCGAGCTGTTCCTCGCCCCGCCCCGCCATGGGCATCACTTACCCCATACGCGTCGACGACACAGACCAACCATACACGGTAACAGTTGGTGGAGAGTTGGCTCTTACCGTGAAGATTGATGGAGGCACGGTTATCCGGGAGTGGGCCCTTGGTGAATGGGCAGATTGGGGAGCCTTGCACAACCACGCAACATTGACCGAGCTTACCACGAAATGTGATGAGATCATCACCCGTGCCGCGAAGAATCTAAAAGGATCCGCGAAGGAGGGGTCCAAAGGGTCCAAGTAGGACGTATGGCGGGCCCTGGTAGCCTCCACCAGCGCCCGAGCCACACCATACAAGATCTATTATTTTTGTTTCCGGACGTGGAGATCACGGGCAAAGATACCGACACATCCACTCGTCTGGTTCCACATCTTCCCGATCCTTCTGAAACTCCTGAAACTCTTCCTCGTCTCTATTCGTCTTTATCTGCAGGTGTTACTGTGAGTTTGGGCAAAGTTGCAACTTCCGACAGTACCCCAGCGACCATTTCTTCCAGGACAGACTTCGGGATACCCACCGCTTTGGTTCCAGATGTTGCTGACCCTCCTGAGCCTTATCCTCAACATGATTTTCCTTACGACGGGCCCTCCCATGATCAGGATCATGGAGCTGAACGCTCGGAGTATTACCACATCTCCGACAACCGCCAGAACCATATTGGGAACGACGCTGCCCGGAGCTGTCCGGCAACCGTCCCACCCACTGCACAGGAGTCCGGACGGGTACGACCATTTCGGCGAGACGCTGCTGCCCGACCTCTGCCTCTACCCACGGACTTCGGCATCTCACCTCTACCTCCAGCTCAGCACTCCGACCCCGAGCTTCGAACAATCGACTTCCCACCTCCACCCCCACCTCCGCGTATCGACCTCCAGCGTTCACAAGCCCAGCACTCCTACCTCCACCCTCCAGCAGCATGCGACGTTCCACCGCCACCTCCACCCATCGACCTCCAGCGTCCAGAAGCTCAGCGCTCCGACCTCCACCCTCCAGCATCCGACTTTCCACCTCCACCTCCACCTGCCGACCTCCAGCGTCCAGCAACGCAGCACTCCGACCTCCACCCTCCAGCAGCATGTGACCTCCCACCTCCACCTCCACGCATCGACCTCCAGCGTCCAACAGTTCAGCACTCCGACCTCCACCCTCCAGCATCCGACTTTCCACCTGTACCTCCACCTCCACCTATCGACCTCCAGCACCCAGCAGCGCAGCACTCCGACCTCCACCCTTCAGCAGCATATGACTTTCCACCTCCACCCCAGCACATCGAGTTCCAGCGTCCAGCAGCTCAACACTCCGACCTTAACCCTCCAGCATCCGACTTTTCACCTCCACCTCCGCCTGTCGACCTCCAGCGTCCAGCAGCGCAGCTCTCCGTTCTCCACCCTCCAGCAGCATGTGACTTTCCACCTCCACCCCAGCCCATCGAGTTCCAGCGTCCAGCCGCTCAACACTCCGACCTCCACCCTCCAGCATCCGACTTTCCACCTCCACCTCCGCCTGTCGACCTCCAGCGTCCAGCAGCGAAGCTCTCCGTTCTCCACCCTCCAGCAGCATGTGACTTTCCACTTCCACCTCCACCACCAGTTCAACGTCCACATCAGAGCTTTGGGGGAGGCCGCGGAGCGTGGCGACGTTCTGGTAAGCATCTCAACGCAGTGGCCCCAGTTTAACGACCAAGGCGAACAACGAAGCATCAACAATGAGCCAGCAGACACGTGCAGCGCACACCTAGAGACCCGTACAGCCCCACCTCCACCTCTACCTCCACCTCCACCTATCGACCTCCAGCGTTCAGCAGCTCAGCAGTCCGACCTCCACCCTCCAGCAGCATGTGACTTTCCACCTCCACCCCAGACCATCGAGTTCCAGCGTCCAGCCGCTCAACACTCCGACCTCCACCCTCCAGCATCCGACTTTCCACCTCCACCTCCGCCTGTCGACCTCCAGCGTCCAGCAGCGCAGCTCTCCGTTCTCCACCCTCCAGCAGCATGTGACTTTCCACCTCCACCCCAGCCCATCGAGTTCCAGCGTCCAGCCGCTCAACACTCCGACCTCCACCCTCCAGCATCCGACTTTCCACCTCCACCTCCGCCTGTCGACCTCCAGCGTCCAGCAGCGCAGCTCTCCGTTCTCCACCCTCCAGCAGCATGTGACTTTCCACTTCCACCTCCACCACCAGCTCAACGTCCACATCAGAGCTTTGGGGGAGGCCGCGGAGCGTGGCGACGTTCCGGTAAGCATCTCAACGCAGTGGCCCCAGTTTAACGACCAAGGCGAACAACGAAGCATCAACAATGAGCCAGCAGACACGTGCAGCGCACACCTAGAGACCCGTACAGCCCCACCTCCACCTCTACCCCCACCTCCACCTATCGACCTCCAGCGTTCAGCAGCTCAGCAGTCCGACCTCCACCTTCCAGCAGCATGTGACTTTCCACCTCCATTTCCACCCATCGACCTCCAGCGTCCAGCAGTGCAGCACTCCGACCTCCACCCTCCAGCAGCATACGACGTTCCACCTCTCCTCCACCCATCGAGTGCAGACTTCATCTTACCTACGGATACCACGCCAACTTTGATTCCGACCCTGGCTCCCTGCTCAACCACTCCGGCTCCGACCACGTCGGCTCCAGCGTCGAGGACACGATCCGGCTAAGGACAGCATGGGGCCAACCACCAACGATTGATATCCCCATCCCTCCCCCCTCCCACCGCCTACTCCGACCCACTGGCCCCGGAAGGGACATGTCTCAATTCAAGGGCGTCTTTCCCAAAGGAGCCATACCAGGAGGATCGGCCCAGGACAGAACCCTACTTCAGGTGTCACCCGCCCCCTTTTGCGTTTCACCACCAGCGGATACAGGGGCGGCGCTGGTTTCAAGACAAAGAATTGCATTTCCGACTCCTGTTCCTAATTCTGACCTCGGCCTGGAGTGCTATCACATCTTCGACTACCACCGGAGCCGTCTTGGGAATGTCACTGACGTGGACAAATATACCACTGCCAGGAGCT